TCCTTCGAAGGTTTACAATACAGTCTTTGTACCTTGGGAGCAAGGTTTTTAATGGATGGTCATCGCGTTTGAGGTTATAAAAAAGGCGTCTGTCGCTTTTCTCCAAAAGTTCATATATGTTGTAATTAACCGACGTATAACGCCTCTTATAGCATCTTTTTAAAAACCTTTGTATAACAGTAAGTTCGGAAACACTTGCAGCATAAACTGAAAGACCGTATAATAACTTAGGGATCACAATTGAATTAAAGAGGCGGTCTATTTCATCCTGTGTATATCCTTCCTTACGTAGGCTTCTGATGACAAATAAACACTTGTTGGCTTCATGGAGCTTGGCCTTGACATGCAAGCCAAACTTACAATTACCTTGAATTGTGACGCCTAATAAAGAAATGTTGTTATATTGTTTGATATTGTGAGACATTGGGTAGACTGTTGAATTGCCTCTCTTACGCATAATTAGCTCCTTACATTTACTAGTGTTACAATGCATGTCATTTGCAACAGTCCAATCCATAAACTTGGACAAGGCAATGTCAGATATATCCGGGGAATCTTTAGTAATCGTGACTAAGACGGTTGAATCGTCTGCATATTTAAACAAGGATATATCTTTGTACCCATCTATCTCTAGGTCATTCAAAAATATGTTGAAAAGATATGGGCCACTGACACTTCCCTGTGTTGTTCCCTTGTTAACAATTTTCCACTGGCATGTCAAATTATTAAAAATCACCCTTTGTTTTCTACCTTCGAGAAAGTTGGCATACCAGTTAACAATGAATGAATCAAGTGGACTATGTTTCAGCTTTTCAACTAGAAGATTGTGTTTAACGTTAGACCTTTTTAGCTTGTATGTTTTGTTTTCCCAATTCCGACCACGTGATGCTCCCCAGGGAATTAGCCTTTTTTTTCATTTATTACGCATACCTATGCACCGGATGTACGTGCATAAGACGACGTTTGAAAGAAACAGTCCTCTGGGGTACCAATCACGTGGTCTGAAATGGGAAAACAAAACATACAAGCTAAAAAGGTCTATTATGTGGCATATGCATTGTATTAGTAAAATATGATAGCACTGAAAAATTTCAGCAAAAAATAATAGCGAAATTTTGACTGGATTTGATTTCCTTGGAAAAGTGGGGTAAGCTTTCTTTCCTCAAAAAATGTTTATCACCCATCTAATCGAATTCGCTTATATTATTGGTCATTTTTACTGAATGGTAGCTGCTGGTCGTTTCTCACAGTTTCGTAGCCGCAGCATTTAAAACCGCCATAGAACACTGCGATTGTAACCCTTAAGGTGATATTAGAGGATGTTTGCATCGACAACGAGTACGAGTTCTAGAACGAGATCAGTGATTTTGCGTACTGCGCATCCGTTCTGCGCATCTCCACGTTTTCAAGTCGTCCTGTCAAGTTGCACTACGACGAGTTCTGACCAAAAACTCGAAGTGGGTAGAACGACTGGGAAGAGCTGGTTTTCAAAGGTAAATTTCGATCGTTTAATGCAGTTTCTTTTCGTTTCTAGCCTCTCTTTATCATCTTGAACATTCCTTTATTATGTTTTATGTAAAATACTGCTTTTGAAGTCGAGGAAAAGCAACCGAACGCGATATTTCCTACACAGAGTAAATTTGCATTTACCCGGGAAAGTTGGGTGTCATCGCTAAGATAGAAAGCTGAGAAAACGACTTCGAGTACGAGTACGGCTTGAAGTCATTTGAATCAATGTCGCAACAATGTTGCAATGTTGTTTTGCGCTAAAAATCGTCTTTGCGAATCGTCCCGTGCAACATGACCTTTATAAGCAGCCAAAAAATGTTCTTATCCTCGGAGAAAATATGAAGATGTTTTGCATGAAAACTTGAAGGCCAGCCCACACAAACCAGTCAGCTCCAAATCATTCTGTCTGGCATTTAGACAGGCAAGTTTTTTTGAGGGGAAAAGAGCACGATTAATTTCCAATTTAAAGTCGTTTCCTTGGAGCTTGAAACCGATCCTAAGAATTTCCTTCCGTAAACATGACGGTAGAGCTCGTCAAAAAGTTTGACAGCATCCCTTAAGGGTGCAAAAATCTAGCCTTGCTGAAGTATCAGTTGCGTATATGAGAATTCGTCATTTCTCGGCTTGACGCACTTGACACGCTTTGCAGGCCCCTAAATGTACCGCGACTACTGAAACGGCGGTCGTTTTAGATTTTGGCATGCACCTTTAACAGTTGACTGTTCACAAGACGTTTGTTTTGCCAGCAGATAATTAATCCTCCGCGGCTTTTATTTTCATTTTCATTTGCTCTCCAAGAATCCCCAATGAGAAGTTGGAAGATCTGTGAGCAGGTTACCTGAGCCCAAACAGTTGGAAAATTCTTGTACCGTTTACAATTAATTCAATTCTGCGGCGTTGTTCTCCATCTGGCCGGATAAAGAAGGTTCGTTCGCTAAGGATCAGAAGGTACTGTTTCTCTTATTATAGCAAGTTTACTGAATGAATTTACGTATTTCGATGATCAAAATTAATTGGCTGCGACGAGTGCTTAAGGGAGAGTTTACTTTAATCTAGGGTAGGAATGTCTAACTGAAGGAAGCTTAAATCTCATCGTTGAGCTTTGAAAACAATACTTCAAAACAGTACGATTAAACAATCAATAAATTCAACACAATGGTAGGTTGAATATTTGCGGACGGAAACCTTGGGTGAGCTCGAATTGGCCCTGAGTCGCTTTCAAAGCTGTTTTTATCAAAAGTGCGTCTTTCTTTTATTTTAAATCCTAAATTAACTTTTATCATTCAAACTGACAACTCGTTCAAAACTATTTGACATGTAGGTCGCTCGCAACACGCATCATTGCGTTCCTCAGTTGCCCAGGAACTCTTATCGCCAAAGCTGGCATTTTTCTCATTTAAAATCCCGCAAAAAGAAAGAAAAAGAATTGATTGAGAAGAGTTTCACTTAATTCGTCCGCAACGCGGATATAATGGAACTGAAAATGATATCATACAGAATTGCAAATTAGTGAAAATTTATTTTGACTTATTTTATTCTTTGCCGTAGTTACTTGTCGTCACTTGAAAATGGAAGTTTTTGTTTTTTGCTGTTTTTTTATGTTAATTAATTTAATTGGAGTTTCTCTTAAGATAAAGATTCGATAAGTCAAGGGTTTTTGGTCATTTCAGGGTGAATACTTCTCTATGCAGGCGTCTGTAGAATTTATGTTGAATATCATTTTCATCTCATTAAATTGCGAAATGGTTGAACGTTTCCTACAAATTTCATGTTAATGAGTACTCTATATATCTGACTGTATTTATTTAAACATGGCTACAGAAATTTCTCTCATATACCTTTACCGACTCTTGTTGAGCACGGTTTTTTTTCATCGTTACTCTTTATTTATTTATTTCTATCGAATGTTTACTAAATAGAATATATCATGAGTTTCTCACTGGCTATTAACCTAACCCCCCCGCCCCCCCCCCCAAAAAAACGCTTTTCATAACTTCCCATAATTCATTCATTCATCCATTCATTCATTCATTCATCCTTTATTTTGCTATATATACAAAATTTTACAACGCAAGATGGAAATAATATGAGATTAAAGAAAAAGTAAATGGCGAGGAGACCTGAAAGAAACCACGAGGCTTATAATGATTCAGGTCTCCTCAACTTAAGATAAACCAGGATAAACTAATCTTGATATAATAATTACAATATGGGCTTATTAAAGATGGCTAACATTGACCGCGGACTCACCCACACACATGTTAATTTAGTTAATCTAATAATCTAATTAGGGCCGTACTGAAGCTCATATGTCCTAAGAAGGAATTCTTTAAGCTTTCTTTTAAAAGGAGCCGAGGAGGACGAACCAGTTATAGTAGAATTCAGCGAATTATAAAACTTTGGACCTTGAAAATAAATTGATAACTGTCTGGTATTCGTTCTGCATAGTGGCAAGCGAAATGTGTGGATTTGACTGTTTACTAGGAAGAGGTTATTGAATTTGGTAAGGCAGTGTAGAGTTCTTGAGTGAAAACATTATAAAAAAACCTAATTGAAACGAATGGATGTCACGAAATTTTTAAACTTTAAGCTCCTTAAAGATGGGACTAGTGTTGGCATCGTAGGTAGAGTTGTTCACTATTCTTAGGGCAAGTTTCTGTAAGATTACAATTCTTTGAAGGTTCGCTTTGTAGGTGTCACCACAAGCTAGATTGCAAAAGTATAAGTATGGTAGTATCATTAAATTGTACCAAGGTACGGAGAGATTGAGTTGAGAGGAAAAACCTAGATTTATGAAATGATTCCCATGGATTTTGATAATTTACTGGCTAATAGAGATATATGAGGTTTCCAGGTCAGAGTATCATCTAAATTCTCTCTGTATGTCTTTTTGACACCAGCGCGCGTATTATACTGAACTCGGCTCTCGTAGTGGGTTGTTTTAGAGTTTTTTTGGCCGCCTTGAGCAAGTTTTCTGGAAGGCATCATTAAGCCTTTTTTTTAAATTCTGGAACATATAGGCACTTTGGACTTGATTAGAAAAATACTAATAATAATAATGATAATAATAGTAATAATAATAATAATAATAATAGTAATAATAATAAATAGTAATTTTCCGGTTGACGCCTAGAAGAGATGGAAAGAAAGCTGATCGCTGATCCCATAAGGCTCGATCTCTCATACAACTTTCTAGATCTCTAGAACAGTATCCCTCAGCAGTGAAGCCTGCGTAGCAGTGCTTTTCTCCCTCCCCCTCTCCCTCCCCTTTTTGCGCCTGCCACGCAGGCTATCAGCAGTGTGTTAATATATGTATGTAAAACACCGAACCATTGCTATTTTCAACTGCACAAATACACACCAAGCAATAAAACGCTCGAGACAATAAACACGCACCAGACAATACAAACGCAGGTATCGTGAAAGTTCATTAGCATTTTGGCCACCATTGAATTACAGGTAATGTACCCTCTGTTGACGAATTGCTTCCAATGGAACTATCAGATATTTTCCTACCATATTCAGTGGTGAAGGGTCGTCGACCGATTGACAAGTTACAACCAAATCTATACGAGGCTATAAAGAACGAAGATTTAGAGGAGATTAGGAGAATACTCAGCTCCCCAGGAGAAAACAACGACCTTAGCCGGCTGGACAGTTCTGGTAAAACTGTTTTGCAAGTAGCAGCAGATGTGACAGATGAGTCCGTCAGAGATGAGATTATCAAGGCATTACTGGTAAACGGGGCCAGCTTACAGCTTGCTTTGATTAATGCAGTACGGAATGGTGAAATCAGAATAGTGAAAGTGCTGCTTCAGTTTTGTAACGGACAACTCCTAACATCACCAGACAAAATCCTTTCGGTCACAGGTCATTGTACTCATACAACACCACTTACCCTAGCCGCGTGTTTGGAGAACTTTCAAATTGTCAAACTTCTTCTTGAACATGGGTTCACCATCGGTGATCCCAAAAATGTCCCATTGTCGACAGAATTCAATGAAGCGCCTTGCCTGAAGCTTGGTCCCGCCGTATATCGTTTAAATAAATACCGCGCACTGGCCAGCCACGTGTTTATCGCGGCGTCTTTTCTGCAAGACGTGCAGCGTGGGTTAGATCCAGTACTTCGAGCTTGTACCCTGAGCAAGGAACTCCGTGACATGGCCGAACAAGAATACGAGTTTAAAAGCGAATATCTTAAGCTTTCTGATGGCTGTGAAGAGTTTGCTATGTCGCTCCTCAACGAATGCTGCACAATGCAAGAGATCAGATGCATTTTGGAAACGAAGAGTACAAGCAAAATGTTCTCTAAATTGGAGACGGATTCGCTAAACATGCTGGAATTTGCCATCCATGCCAAAACGAAAAAGGTACGTTGCTTCTTTCGGCTGAGTTAATGAACTAATTTAAAATGGCCACCAGAAAGAGATCCAATACCTGGCTCCCAGGTAGATGAAGCTCACCCACATACCCGAGCTACACTGGGCAAGCCAACTTTTCATACATTTTGTTACAAAACGGTGGCGAACCGTTTACAAACAAAAAGTTGGCCCGGCTAGATCCTAGAAGGGTGATGCCCTAACTGGGTCAGCTTTTCTCCATATAAACACTCTGACTCACTCAGCCGGCCAGTCAACTCCGTCAAGGAGAGGCGCTGTTGGCTCAGGCAAAGGTGTTAACGTCTCAGCGCACCAGCGCCTCGTCGATTTTCTCTGAAGAACTCGAAGATCTAGCCAATTGTTCGTAATGTCTTGCCCAGCTTTTAAGCTGCAGTCCCTTGGCAGTGGCTAATCTACTTTATTAACTTGGTTGATAAAACCATTTGATATGTTTTAGTTTTGCAAAAGGATAAATCTCAGCTATATTAATGTGAGTAATTAGATACTTGATGAAAGGAATAATTTCCTTTTAAAAAGCTATACTAACCACAGAGTTTTACCTTCCAGTTCGTCGCCCATCCTTACAGTCAGCTTGTTTTAAATTCAGAGGTCTACAAAAACATGCCTTTCCAGGAGGTGAAAAGTCCTTGGAAACAGTTGGTGTTGGCGTTACTGGCGTCTTTGCTGTACCCGTTGACTACCGTGATTTGGTGTTTTTCTGAGAGCTTTTTTCCCACACATAAAGTGACCAGAATTTTCCATTCTCCTTTAATGAAGGTTCTTATGTACTTTGGATTCTACCAAACATTTCTGTTTCTGCTGGCTTTCACATCAAGTACAAGTAACTTTCTGGGCAGCTACTCATTCAGTGGTAAGAAACGTGGGAGAGAACAATATGATTTAATTGCACTGTGAATGCCGATTCATCGCTCGATGTAAGGGAATCTAAAACAGCCGTGGATTCTGGATTCCAAGCACTAGATTCCAGTTTTTTTCGGTGAAACTTGGATTCTGGAGTCCAGTCGTTAGTGGGAGGATTCCGGATTCCTTGAGCTGTATTTCGGATTTCACAAGCAAAGTTTTCTTCCGAATTTTTTGGCACAAGCAAACATTTCCCGGAATGCGGAATCGGGATTCCCTTGCATTAGGCGGGATTCAAGACCTCACATTACCTGTCTCTTCTTTTCACAGATGTGTATATCCTTATGTTCGTCATCGGGCAATTGGTAGACATCATCAAGGACATTCTCCAAAAAGGAAGAGCCCGCTTCTGGTCTTACCATTGGAACTACTTAATCGTGGCCACAGTGGTGTTATTCTGTCTCGGTCACATCATTTGGTGGATTGGCTATGCAACTCTTCCAGACGCATACCGGTCAATGACGCTGGAGGACAATGCCGTAAAACGCTCGTACACGATCATGTTGTCTTCCGAAAGCTTTATATCATTGGGAATCCTTTTTGCTTTTGTCCAAAATTTCTCATTTTTTCAAGTAAACGCCAGTGTTGGTCCTTTGCTCAGTGCATTTTCACAGATGCTTATTGACGTGGGAAAGTTCTTTTTCTATTTCGCTTTCATTTTTGTGGCATTTGCTGCTAGTTTCACAAAACTTTATATTCAGTACAACGCGGCCAAAGAATACTTCGCACTGGGGGCAACGGAGGAAAATCCTGAAAAGCTGCAACGGTGCGTTTACTGAGCATAACGACATACTAATTTCAATTAATCACAATCCACTCTTGGGTAATCTTATGGCAAGGGCTTATTATTTTTTCTTGTTACTTCAGGTTGTATGACAGTGCAAACGTGATGTTTTGGTCGCTTTTCGGCGAAATTGACTTTGAGGATTTTAGGATTGAAGAAAATGGCTACGGTGCCATCTGGAGAACGGGCATGGCGTTATTTGCCCTGTTTAACATTGTAGCGGTTCTTGTGGCTCTGAACATGCTGATTGCGATACTCAATGAATCCTACACACGAATTTCAGTAAGTAAAGACTAGTTCTGCTTTCTTTAAAATGCAATCGTTGTGAGTTGCTGCATTTTTCCTGTCGTGATCAATTATTGAGGTTGAGATTCGTGAAATGGTTATTCCATTTAACATGTTCAGTTGAATTCTCCGGTGTTTAACCCAATAGTGTGGATAAGGCTGAGTTTGGTTACCTCGAATGTACACGTTCTTACTTCTTTCAAAACTTTTATTAGAAACACTAGGGTTTTGTGAAATGCTTTCTGCGAGACCTGGTGCACATTTTGCCTGCCATAGTGAACTAAGCACTGGGATCCCGTCCAGATAAACCGTTTTGGATTTTCCTACTATTGTTGGATTATGAGCTCTAACGATGCTGGTCCTAACACTTGCCTAAGTAACACGTAGTAAAATTTAGTGTGGGTTATTTCTTTTATGATTTATAGGAAAACTTGGATACTGAATGGAAGTTCAAGCGAACAAAAATGTGGTTAAATTGGATTTACAAGAAAAGCGTTATTCCGCCACCATTAAGCATCGTGTATGTGCTGCTTCCAGGCTTCTGGGTTATGAAACATCTGTTCAAAGCTTGTTGTCCCGTAGCCATCTTGGTAAGTGTTGAAATATGTTTAACAGTGTTCGGATTTTCCACCCGTTCTACATTTTGGGTTGAGGAGAGATTGCAAATAGAATTAAACAAATCGAACACCTATCTCCTTACTTTCTTTAAGTCCTTATCTACGAAGCCAATCGGCCTCGTCAACCACCTATATAAGCCGCAAGAAGCTGAAAGACCTGAACACACCTCAATCGCCTTCGCACTGGATGGGGGAGATCGCTATCCTCTCTCAAGATGATTGGCGCCAAATGTCGATAAATGCCGGTGTCCCTATCTGCATTTGCCCGTGCCCACTCTTCACACCACCCAATCGGCAGGGTTATTTTGCAGAAAGCCGAATGACTCTGAGTTTAGTGATTAGGTTTAGGAAACCGAGTGAGTCAGGTTCCATGTAATGTCATTATACTCGGAAAACTGAGCTAAAGACCTGAAACTTGATTCGTTCATGATCAGTTTCCTAATCCTAATCACTAAATTTCAAAGTAGTTTGAGGTTCTGCATTCTCCGAAAGGCGAATGCATAACGCCGAATGACTCTGAAGTCTAGTGATTAGGGTTAGGAGACTGAGTGAATCAGGTTTTATTTAGGGTCATTAGACTGGAAACCTGACCTGAAACTTGATTCACTCCGTTTTCTAACCGTAATCACTAAACTTTAGAGTCATACAGCGTTCGGTATTCTGCGTTCAACGTTCTGCAAAAATTCCCCTGCCGCCACCCAATTTTTCAGGCGGCTTAGCTGCTCGTGTATTCGAAACCACCGAATGGCTAGAGGATGCCGACATCCTAGTCTGAACCTCAGCGTAGCTGATGGAAGTTAAATTCAGTAGGGTACCTAAAATTCGTGAAATTCTACAGTAGGCTTCGGCTCCATTATTTTCTATGCCTACTGGACAACATAGTAGTAGGAACCAGTTACAAAGAGAGGACAGTTTCTCACAAGACATATCAATAAGAAAAGTGACGCAGAAAAGTAGTAATACATTACAGTACAAAGTAGGTAAGCAACGGCAAGGGAGCTTAACTACAATCGGTGACAAAATTGAAGAGACACTACTCAAATAAGGTACTTTCTGCACCTCTCACCTCTCCCCTTCTTCCAAAGTTAAGATTTTTTTGACAGGTAGCTCGTACAGCGGCATAACATTTTTTGAAGTGGTCAAAACGCCACAAGGGACTTTTAAGGGTAAAGGGCCTTAACTGATTTTGTCGACTACTTTCTGGCTGAAACTCTTCGACTGAGATTTTCAGTTGATTACTAGAAAGTATAGTGCCACTTTTGTGGATGCTAATAGGCAGCTCTATACAACAGCCATCCCCACGCAGTGGCTACAAATTGTGCGGTCCCTCCGGAATACTTCCTATAATCGCCTATGAAAGGAAGCTTCGCTGCTAAAGGGCACCTTTAATTATATTGAATTATAAAATTTGTCTTAAGAAATTCATGAGGGTCATAAATTTAAGCACTTCTAACACACGCATTTTGTGGCTTCGTTATTTTAATTTAGCAAACGCTATATATGATAAAGAAAAGAAGACTGAGATCTCCAGTTTTTTAAAAAAAAAAAAAAAAAAAAAAAAAACCTTTTTGAGTAGCCCCCATCCCCGGAGTTTGCCCGGAACACCAGCCCGTACATTGAATGCAACACCATTTCGCTGAGGTCAATTAACATAGCAATGACAATAGACAAGAGACTATAAAGGGGACAGAGAGGGCATCCCCCATATACACCCTATTCCATAGGTAATTCGTCTCGAGTTATTTTTAGAATCGGGATAAAGTTACCTCGCGCGAGGTGTGGATGTTTCGTGGAGGTTTCGCATGACCAAACGCCGTGCAAAACATGTCGGGCGAGAGCATTCCTGAATATTGAAGCGAAATGAGTCGGCGCTCACCTGGGAAAAAGGAATCGCTGGACTCTTTGACAACCCGTGAAATCAGTTTAACTCGAAGTTTTCGTAACCTCAGTGCTTTAATAAAATGAGAAATTTCGCCGGTCTATTGAAACCGGTCGTTTGTACAATTTAGGGAGTTTAAGATCCAACGACGCGGACGAAAACTAGAACGTCAAAGAAACAATAGGTTTAATTAGCAAAACAACAACTTCGCACGTGCAACACACTTTTTTGTTCATTTCTTTCCCGTTTTTGCACGACTACGACGTGAAAATGCCTAATTTCGCGTTTTATGGAGGACGTAAATAAGCAACGACGAAATTTTATTTCTCTTTCTGAGCTTGAATATGGTCCCTTGAAATTCAGCTTTAGGAGGGTTCGCCTACAAATTGACAAAGTAAGTGGGTAGGAATAATCGCTATAAAGACTGAAAAAAATAAACATCAAACCAGAAATTGCTCTCTTCAAACTGTAAATTATAAATGATCCTGAGAGAATATTCAGTGTGTTAAGGATTTCCCTGCTCTACTGCTCTAGGGCGATTCTTTTTTAATTTCGGTTTCGCTGACACAGCTTTCGCAGAAATCTCGCTGTAGTCGTTTTCGTCGACAAAAGGAATAGCAAAATCGCTCTCCGCGTCTTCCCCCATTTTGTTCTGCGTCATTTCGTGAAGGACGCGTGGCTCTCAGCGTGGGTCATCCACGCGAAACACATTCGCGCTATGTGTTGTCTAATCCCCCTTGAGATCTGTGGTGTTAAAAATAACTCGAGACGAATTACCTATGGAATAGGGTGTATATGGGGGATGCCCTCTCTGTCCCCTTTATAGTCTCTTGCAATAGATAGAGAACTCTAGAAATTCCTGAACGTAACCTACAAACAGAAATTAGTAGTGAATTTGCTAGGAAGAGCATTATACTCAGATTCACGAAGAAGATATTGAAGATTTCTACATCCTTGAATGAGTTTATTGGAGATCTTGAGACTCACCTCCAAAACTGAAATGCATGGCCGCCCAAAATATCGGTAGCGGTCGTCCATATAGATAAGGTATTTAACAATTATTCATCGAGCCCGAATGGGCTCTTGAGTCAATAGCCCGTGAGGCCGAAGGCCGAATGGGCTATGGACTAAGAGGCCATGAGCGCGAGAGGAATAATTGTTTTTAATAGCAAAATCCAATTACTGGTCAAAAATATCGAGACCGCAAAAAAACTTTAGCTGGTTAAAGCTAGACTTTAATCCTTTTTTTGCCGCCAAAAAGCCGGCGCTTTTGCTACTATAGCCTAGTAGTAGCTCAACCAATCAGAACGCAGCATTGATAATAGACCACTAGTTGGATTTTACTAATTATAGCTATTTTAACAGAGGGAACTGTTTTATTTTTTTCTTTAACTACAGGTGTTTTTGGAAAAGTTGTTTAAGAGAAAGCCTGTCAATAGGACTGTTTCAAAAGTGAAAAGGATTTGCGAGCACAAGGTAAAGAAAGCTTAGATTTTCGCCCGTCCACACGAAAACGCCAAAACGGTGGAAATACGATAGTATTCCTTCCAGGTCATGCTCTGTAATATATAGTTTTAGCCAGGGCTAAAAGCGAAGCTCTCGATACTATTTATAGTTTGTTCAAACAAAATATAAAATCGTGTAATGCTAAGCGGCGAAGGCAACGCAAGAGAACGGTGAAAAACAACAATAGGTCTAATTAGCAAAAAAGCAACTATGCACGTGTAGCACACTTTTTTTGTACATTTCTTTGCCGTTGTTTTGCACGACTACAACGTGAAACTTCTAGAAGCTTGTTTGTTACACGTTTTATGGAGGAAATGTCCTTCCATTTTCTCATTCAATTTTTTTCACTGCCGCTCATTTTCACCTTGCATTGGTGGCCGCTAGCATTTCTCATTTTGTCACCGCCGTTATAAAATTTTCGTGTTGTTCTTCCAACAAAAAACGTCTCCTTTGGTTTTTGTCTCTCGCTCTAGATCTCTGTCGCCCTTTTTCTCGTTGAGCTTTCCTTGCCTGCCGCCTACTTTCTCTTTTTAGTTGTCTCTGCCTTACAAGAGGCGGGTGGCTATTGGATTTCCCGCCAAAATAACCTCGAGTTGCATTTGGGTTGCCATACCTGTTGATTGAGCTATTTTACAGACGGTCGGTGTACGGTCACGTGATTACCAAATTTTCTCGGATGGGTAGTTTACCACATTTTATTACCCATGGTGCTCCGCTGCGCGCTTCGCGCGCGAGAGCTCCGCAATGATGTATAACATCATCGCATTCCAAAACCTCACTCTCACTTTTTGTCCGTCCACATAACATAAAAATCGACAAGCAGGCGTTTTTATACACACCCCACTCTATTTCGAAAACGTAAGTTTTTGGTGCTCAAAAACGTCGTTTAGTGTGGACGGGAGACTGAAACTAAGAGAAAAATATCCATTTTCAAAAATATCTGGATACATGTGGACAGGGTCTTGGGATGGATTTCTAATTTCTTTACGCGCGTACAATGTATGAAAGGCCGCGCGAGTTGAGCGAGGTTACACTTCATTAAATATTGGCTCGATTTTTTTACGCGCATAAAGTTTACGTGCCTACACACGTGGAATCCACCTTAAAATTTACGCGCGTAAATAAAATAGAGGCAAGTTATGTAAGGTCGCAAATGTTATTTTCATCTGAAAGTCATACACATTAAAAGTCTGAAATCAATGCTGACTGAGTGCGAGTTTAATTTGGCAATCATCACCATAGCCGCATACTGTTTTCATTGTTTTGTTTTCTCAGAGACGAAAGGTGATTCGCCATCTTGTCTTGAGGTATCTGGCTAAGAGATCGTGTTATTCCGCGGTCAGCAGTTCAGAGGAGGAGTCGAACAACGAGGCAATGGTGGACACTGAAGAACCAATTCTGGAGACTTGCCAATCAAACGACACAGGAGACCGGTGTTGTTTTTGCTTGATCAGACCGTAATTTGTACCGGAGACTAGTTTTTAAAGACGGCTAGCAAACGTCATAGATTGTTCACAGTCCACTGTTTTTTCGTGAGACCGTCAGGATCGAGCGGTTACCGGTTCGGGCGGCCATCTTTTTTCATATGTGTTGAAGTAGTCGGGGTTTATAGTGGTGGGTGGAGGGTGCGCAAAGATGCATAATGCATCCAAGATAGCTGCCGGAATGCAAAGCGCTTGGTCTCGCCGATTTTACGGAAAATAGGAGACTGTGAACAGTTTGCAAACTTCAAAGATAAATGCTACAGTGCTGTAGTTTATGTTGGGAACTCCCTGAAGTTACAATCCTTTATGTTTTTTTTACAAATTGTGGTGGAATAAATTAATGCCACGTTTTTTATCAGCGAGATCAAAATAATAGGAATGCTACCGTTATGGGTCCGGTCGAAAGTTTGAGGACAAGAAGTAGCCTTGGTTTCATTAGAAGATTATAGGGGACGTTTTGTCTTTATACCGAAATTTTTTAGAAGACCCTTTTTAACAATAATCGCAATATCTTGGCATGAAAATGTGAAAAACACAACCTCCGAAAATCGTAGTTAAGCTATCAAAAAACCTCCGAATATTTTAGACGAATGAAATGGTTATCCAGAAATTTTTAGCTCTTCTGAAGCTTTAGAAATTTCTAGACAACATTTGCTCCTTCGAACAGTTATTGTACAGAAAAAGAAAATCGCTGGGTGCCCCTGTTCTTTATTTAGGTTTCTATTTTGCAAACATGTTTTCTTGATTGTATTACGTATCATTTTAATTCTCATTAAGAGTGGCGTACAGTCGTACTTTCTTTACTCCACGATAATTGCTTTAATTTCAGAGTGAATCTTGTTTTTCCACTCAATTTTTGTTATCGCTATTTGCCATTTACGACTCTAACAAAATTAACTATGCCTGAAACTCGTACCACGAAGGCTACTAGCACTCAAGGAGCTGATTCCGCGGGATCTGAACTTGTCACAATGGCGACACTGAGGGAGTTATTGAAAGTGCAAGAAAGAATGTTTAGGAATTTATTCGACTCACTGTTGGCCAACGTAAACGCACGGCTAGATTCCGTCATCGCCCAAGTCGCAGAAATCAAAGCTAGACTAGATATTTCCGAGAAAGACACTAGCGAGTTGAAGGCGAGCCTTGAGTTCTCCCAGAAATATATCAAGGACTTGAAACCATGCTCATCCCAAAAATTCTGTCTCCTTTAGCAAAAATTGGTGTCACATTTGACACATTACATTCCTACCTTTCTTTTAGGGCTCGAGGTGGTTAACCGTTACGGGTATAACGACCAAAAATTTAGCCGATAGGCGTAAAAAGTATTAACAATTCAACCGTTATTCGTTAAAGGAGTTAATGCGGCTGCGACGGCTAAACATTCTACCGCTGGATTGTTGATCTAAGCCTCTTTGAACTCGCGATACGGGAGTCAAGACCAATCTTTGTGATACCGCAAATTATATCTTGATTTTCAAATATCCGTTAACTGACGTTCCTTGCAATAACCAAGAGAGATTGTCCCTAAATTTTAAAAGTACAGCAAAACTAAGTTAAGACTTCTTTGGTTGGATTTCTGTGACTGGCTGTGGCCTCCCAATAACATAGTGTAACCACTGCTCGCCTCGACTAGCTAATCTGCTAACTGCGGGAAGTGGATATTGCTTGCTGTAAAATTTGCAACAATTAATAAACAGTTGAAACTATGTCGTGGTGTTGTAAACCCAATAACACGTTAAAAGAAAATTGTGCGGTTATTGTAGCCCCCACTTTAACGGCCAAAAATACTTTTGGCGATGACTAATTTCGTCGGCAGAAATATTTTACGGTGAAAATGGAAGCAACAATGGCGTTTTCCGGCAGAATGTCTGATGAAAAATGCTTTGAAAAGAATACTTTCGCTATTGAGAGAACTCTTCTTTTTCCTCCCAACCCAATGTGACACGTGACTGAAAAATCATTTTTGTTATGGATTCACCTGGCTAAAACTGACCATCACATCTCTATTTATTTACATTGTTCTTAAGCACCAAAACTATAACTGAGTGACATTTATTTATCAAGCTGTTAGATTATTTTTGACATCCTTGCTTATTTTAAACGAACTTTTATTACATCTTCCACCAGCTTCAATAGAGCAAACAGAGGGAAAAACGAAGGATTAGAATTTCTTAAGCCATTTTTTCAGGTATATCATACTTGCTAACGTTTAAAAGGAACGACTTTTCGACCGTCCGACGGTTATTTTCAAGTTCAGGATAAGAATTTAAGATAAGTATTTTCTTATGTACAATTGTCAATGGACCCAGTGTGAGATGCTGCCTACTTTTAGTCAGTATCTCATAAGTCTATAATTACTTCTTAGCCTGAATTTAAAAAGGACCGTCGGACGGTCGAAACGTCGTTCTTTTTAAACGTTAACTTTTATAGTTAAATCCGTTTCAAAAAATGGTTGATTCTTATCATACTTGCAGCCGCTTAAAATGCGAGAAAAGTGAGTGTTGCTTCAGTGTTATTAATATTATTTAAAAAAATGGATAGAAAGGAAGCGTTGCCAAGCAAGGTCTCAGCGGAGACTCATTCTCCTTGAAAAAAGATATTAGAAATGTGACATAAAATTTAAGTATGAACCATGAATAAGGGGATCAAGACATGAACAAGATCAAATCAAATCAAAGAAATTTACCAACATTTGGAAAATTAAACGAGATGGAATAAGCGCGATAAAGTTTGAGGCAGCACGACTTCACTTTTTAAGTGACGTTTTCGTAGCCGTCGTCGTTGTCGTTGCTTAAGCTCCCTAATAGATAAAGCCCAAGCTCAAAGCCATCACTTCGGTTGACCTGCGTTTAGGTTATTTACACTTGACCACACGTACCCCAAGCTCACGAGTGAGAATGGTTGTTGCGTAACAGAAATGTTAAGGATTTGTATGGAGATTAATCAATCGTTATTTAGGAGTCAAAAATAGTAACAAAAATACACCAGACTTTCTTACCTTGTCTCCTTGTCTAAATTTATGGTGATTTCTTTGTATTTTTGGCCGTTTCAGGGCGATTCCATCGAGTTTTAGTTCTGCTGTTGTTCTTTATATACAGTAGAACGAACAAAGACCAATTTCAGTACCAGATCCAGACCCTTAGATAAGGAGGGGGCCCGGTCATCCAGACCCTTAGATAAGGTGGGGGGCCGGTCTCAAAAAAACTGTTTTTCGGTCCTTCGGGTCTCAGTTTGGTCTAAAAATAAGGAGAGGGGGGGGGGCTCCCTTAATCGCAACACCTTTATTCTCGCTAATGAACAGATCCCTTTCTCATACAGATTAAATTGATATACTTTTCTCTACTCGCTAATGTAAACGCTGATCAGCGACACACCTTAAAAATGTCAGTCTCAGTAATACATGCTCCTATTTCGTACTTATGTCACACAAAATCACGACACAGTCCCCCATATTTCTCCGAAGGAGAGATATGTCTCTAAATATGTAATTTAAATGAAAATGAAATCACGTCAAGAACGGAACTCGCAGCATTTTCAAAATCAAATTAAACTTCAATTCAATAAATTGTCAATTTAAAATCACTCTTCGTCTTGAGCAATGTTTTGTACGCGTAAACGGGCCGCAATGGACGCATCCCTTCTCGGTCTGAAGGGTGGAGTTTGTGGGTTCATCGCAGCTGGACGTGGTTGCTGTCTATCGCACCAAAGCTCTAAGGGGTATAACTGTTGGACTGCTCATTCGATGCGGGACTTCCCAGACGGTAGTACTGCTCCTCTGACCACTCCATCGGTGTCAACTATAAGATTCTCGACGATCCCCAACGGCCATTTGCCTCTGTTCCTTTCATCTGTCTGCAATGTGACAACGTCACCTACTGGCCGGTGTTTTGGGTACGGAGTCTCTCACGAAGGCCGCGCAGGTACTCCTTGGACCAACGTCGCCACACTACCTCCTTGCACATGAGCAGGTGCTTTGATCGTCTCCGACTCCAGGCTGCTTCAATACGGTGTGGCTGTAACTCTGGCAGGACATTACTCACTGATTACTTTTCATGAACAACATGGAGCTTGGTGTCAGAACAGGTAACTGCGGATCGTCTTCCAGATAACTCAACGGTCGGTTATTAAGGTTGATCTCCACGTCAAGCGACACCTCTTGTAACTCCTCCAGCTCAACATCCCACTACCGATTATTTTCTGCAGTCTGATTTCATCAGACCATAATTCTTTCGAACTGTCCGCCCCACCGGGGGGCGCGACTTAAGTTAAACTGCCACTTGATCTAGTTAACTGACAGGTAATTCTGAAGTCACCCGTCCTTCATCACTGCCCTGATCCGCCTCGCAGCACCGACAAACGACCTGCCGTTGTCGAAATAGATTAGCTCCGGTCTTCCTCGCCGAGCGATAAACATCTCCATGTTTCTCAGGCACTCGCGGTTTCCAAGTATGGTAAGAAATCCAAGTAAACCCCTCTTGTGAGTCTACAAGCATATAACAGGACATAAGCCTTTCGTTCTTTTTGCTTGATATTCTATATTGCAGTGGACTAGAGATGTCGATCACTATTACTTGAAATGGATTAACACCTTCCGTTCGGGTAGTTAGAAGGTATCCAGGAGGTGGGGCGTTGTATGCCATCTCTTGGAATCTTTTCCATCTATGGCAATTTCGACGAACTTTCTTTACCAGCTTCCTTAGTTTAGGGATCCAGTATCGATTTCGGACTTTGGCCATTGTCAGGCCTACTTCCCCATGAAGGTTTGAGGGTGGGCTTCTTCCACCACTCGCTGGGCAAAAAGATTGGTGTCTGGTAAATACACTGGGTGGTCTCCCTGTAATCGGCTCCGACATTCCAACAGGCCCTCTTGATTTAACTGTAAGTTTAGCGCCACCCGATCCTTTTCAACTTCACTGCTCTTCTGAGCCTGCTTGTCCCAGAAAAGTCTTTGCTGATTTGTTTCTGGGGTAGTCAGCGGTCCCTTAATGCGCGTCTTCCCCCGGCTGCGAAGAGCATTGTGCGTGAACCCTCGCATCCACACACACACACGTACGGCGTTCTGTAGTTGAAGCTTGCGCAATACGCTTTCCACCTCATTCTCATCGTCCACTGCCACTGTCAGC